GAGCAGTTCCGCTTTTAGTTCTCTGTGTCCAAGATATTTTATGGGAGGGAGTCACAGTCTTGGTAATTTCGCTCATGAAGTGGAAAGCATTTTAAATCCCTCCGTCCTGGTACAGAATACAACAGTCTGACATTTCTCAAGCGGATTTTGCTCCGTCTTACATTTTTAAAGATTTACTTAATCGCTGGGCCATATCCAGACCTTTTTTTCCAGGCCTTATTTTCAAAAATTTGACACTGTTCCAAAAATTTATTATTGATAAAAAAGGACCTGAAGAAGAAATAGAACAGGTCCGCAAAACTCAAATTGTTTATTTTAGCGATGCAGATTCTCTGTATAGGCAGCTCTTCTAACAGTTTCGTGAATGAAGAACACTGAAGTTCACCAATGTAAGGCATTAAGCTCTGAATTATAATCAATTAATTTTATGACATTGATAAATGCAGTGGTGCATGACATATTGCTAAGATGTAGTTTTAAAAATATTCTGAATCTCATAAGATTCTTATCCATTCTTTATTTTTTTAGTCCTAAATTTCACCCTTTTTTTCGACTATCGTGTGTGTGCTCTGCAAATGATGTTGGAATTCCTTTCATCTGGGGTTTCGAGTTAGAGCTCAGCTCTGCTGCCTGCTAGCCCGTTCACTTCAGCAGGACTGCTGCAGCAGAGCACACATAAAATTCAGCATTTCCTTTTGGCAGATCCGAGGCGTTTCTGTGTTTTGGGAGCCTGATTCTGGAAACAAGTCACAATGAAGTGTGTTTTTTTTTTTCGTGTTTTCAAAGCTTTGCTCCCTTTCCTTGTTCACAAAACCTTTCTTTCTTTGACTTAGGTGTAATGTCCCTGCTGAGGCCTCTTCTGTTGGATGTAGTCCCAACTATTCAGCAGACAGCAGCTCTGGCGCTTGGACGGCTTGCCAACTACAACGATGACCTGGCAGAGGCAGTTGTTAAAGGAGACATTCTTCCACAGCTTGTGTACTCCTTGGCTGAACAGAATGTAAGACCCTTTATGCGACTCGAAGTTACGTGCACACACAACTTCAGCTAGTGAACCGGATCATACCGGGGCTCGTACGTTTTTAAAACAACTCAAAAACCTTTTTTTTTAAAGAAGTCTCGTGTTTTTGATGCTTCGGCCAATACATTGCATAGAATTTAAGCCCTGTGTGATGGCTATGGAAGATAGCTGAAATGTTTAATACTCTGTAGTAGTGAAAACACACAGAGGGAACAAAAAACCAATAATAACAACAGTATGAGAAAAAAATAATAGTTGTGCTTCTTTTATTCTGTGTTCATCAAAGCCCCCTAACTGCCAAGAGTAATTCATAAACGGATGATTACCAAGCTTGAGAAATTCAGCAGTACTATAGCTGAATATGGAAGTTTAAAGGGAAACTACAGTTCCAATTTCTCAGACCGGTTATTAAATCTTGTAAGAAGATTAATTCATTAACGTTATAGAAAAAATACACAAATGTTGAATTAAGCATCAAATCGTGAAGTTTGGGAAAGTACTGTAAGTTGCCATGTTGTCGCGAATCCCTGCTCTTGGCACAGACACAAGCGAGAGTTCACGTGAATTGTGACATGAAGCAGCTATTCCTGCTCACTAGTCGCTGTCATCACTAATGTAATGCGGTGTATGAGCGATATAAGTACAGGTTGTGCAGAAAACAGTTCTTGTCGGCAAAACCGTCTTGAAGTCGAGAGCAATCTTTCCAGTGGATTAACAGAAGAATAAATAAAGAAACATATTCACAAGTCTG